TGCGCCTGAGCCTCCTCGTTGTGACAGCGGGACGCACAGTGACTGTGGACACACGTGTGGCCGTGGCAATGCCCGCAGTGGAAGTCAGAGGGCCTCGGTCGGAACCAGGACAAAGACATTGTCATTGTTGTTCCCGATTAATGGCTTTAGCGCCATGATGGAAGGACTGGCAGTGGATGCTCCAGCTGTGCTGGATGTGAGCGAGCACACAAGCCCGCCCAGGAGTCCTCCTCAGGAGCCCATCCTGTATCCCATTCTGGGAGCCCTGCCCAAGAGCCCGCCCCAGGAGTCCTCCTCAGGAGCCCATCCTGTAACCCCATTCTGGGAGCCCTGCCCAAGAGCCCGCCCCAGGAGTCCTCCTCAGGAGCCCATCCTGTACCCCCATTCTGGGAGCCCTGCCCAAGAGCCCGCCCCAGGAGTCCTCCACAGGAGCCCATCCTGTAACCCCATTCTGGGAACCCTGCCCATGAGCCCGCCCTGAGACCCACCCTGGGAGCCCTGCCCAAGAGCCCACCCTGAGACCCACCCCGGGAGCCCTGCCCACGAGCCCACCCTGAGACCCACCCCAGGAGCCCTGCCCAAGAGCCCGCCCCAGGAGTCCTCCACAGGAGCCCATCCTGTAACCCCATTCTGGGAACCCTGCCCATGAGCCCGCCCTGAGACCTACCCTGGGAGCCCTGCCCAAGAGCCCACCCTGAGACCCATCCCGGGAGCCCTGCCTAAGAGCCCGCCCCAGGAGCCCTGTGCAAAAGCCCACCCTTGGAGTCCTCCACACGAGCCCACTCTGGGACCCGAGACAGCTGTCGTGGATTCAGCTCTCGGCATTCCTCATTCTCTCCTGTGGAGCCTCCAGCAAGTGCAGCCATGGGCACTGCAGTGGGTCTGCAGCCTCTGCTGGACAGAAGCGACCAGTGGCAGCTGTCAACAGTGCCTAGAGGCCTGTCAGTCCACCCTCGGGCCAGCGTGAGAGGTTCACGGCCGGCATCCCGGAGCGGGTGGGGTCAATGTCCCCCTTGTGAAGGCCAGGACTCAACCCTGCCTGCATGCGGCTGTCCTCGGGCCTTCAAAGGTTTCCTAAAGCTGTCGTGCTCTGTGGGCTTTAACAAAGCACACCGGGCAGCAGCAGTACCCGAAGAAATGAGCCCTGGGCCTTCCTCCTGGAGTACAGGCTGCTTCCCCAGCGTTTTCAGCTCAAGCAAACACAGGATTCCCCTGCGGAAGCCTTGCCCCCTCCTGTTGTCTGGGTTTGGAAAGCCAAGCCCAGTTCCACCCACTGGGAATGCCTCCAGTCTGCTGCTTCTGCTTGGAGTCAGCCACATGTTTGCCTACCCACTTCGTTTCCTCTTGGTAGATTTGGGCAAATCCTTAGAGCCCTCAGGGCCTTCCCCTGCCCAGGGGGTCACCCCATTATGCACACCTGCGTGGAGCTCCATCCCAGCCGTCCCCATACCCTCGTGCGTGGGCAGCTGTACTCACCCTTCTCATTTTCCAGGAGCCTGTTCTGAGGCCCCAGGCTATGCCCGTCCCTCACTCCTGTGGGAAAGTGGAGCCACCCCTGTGGTCCTGAGTCCTACTGCACCTTAAATGCTGGGTCAGCAGCTCCTGCCCCTTCTGCCCTCTCCCTGCAGGGAGCTTTGACTCTTTCCTGTGAGGCTCAGCCAGCTGACAAATTCATCACTCAATGGACATGCTTGTTTGGTGTGGAGCCCGCAGTCTGAAGACCTCCCGTGTCTTTACTTTCAAAGATAAGCAGAATCTTCAAACCAGAGCCTCAGGGGAGTGAAGCCCCCACCCCTTGGACAGCCAAGCTCACTCTGAAGAGCAGGGAGGAAGTTCCAGGGGGTCATGGGAGTGGGGACAGCACAGCCACAGCCTGACGCAACTGATCCCAGTGTTACCAACACAAAGCGGGGGGGGGGGGGCTTCCCTGAGAGGAGCTGGGGCCGTCATTTCCAGGGTTCAGCCTCAGCTCAGGCTCTCAAGGGACAGTTAACAGCTTATTGAAAAGTTGGATCAATAGATGTTAGCGCTGGTGGCAACTATTGCAGGTGGACTTTGAGGGGAGAGGAACGCACAGAAATGCCCTCATAAGGACAGGCTCTTCAGCTGGTCCCCGAGGAGCCTCTGAGGGACGCCACAAAACCTCAGGGGCCACATCCTGAACTCAGGCCACAGCTCTGGAGGCGGCTTTGGCCGTGGCCTCAGTGCAGGCTCCACTTGACATTGGTATCCAGGGTGTGGGAGCGGCAGCTGGCAAGTGGGAAGATTGCTCCCCTGGCCATTTTAAATCCAGAGGCTGCTGCAGAGGGCAGGGCTGCCTGCAGATCTTGCTGCATTTGAGAGAGCCCTGAGCTCTGGAGGGGCTGGTCCTGGTGCCAGGAGGCCTGGTTTCTGCTTAGCTGTGTGGCCTGTCTGTGGCAGCTGCAGATGGCATAGTGACCAATGATGGGTCCTCCCCCACCACCATGTTCTCCTCAGAGCCCACTGTAGTCCTGGGGATAGCTGGGGTATGACACCTGGTCCAGTGAGCTGGGACACTTGCTGAAGCTGCGGATGCCTGGGGAGGTGGGGGTGCCTGGGAGGTGGGGGTGCCGGGGGGGGTAGGGATGCCTGGGGATAGCTGGGGTATGACACCTGCTCAAGTGAGCTGGGACACTTGCTGAAGCTGGGGGTGCCTAGGGAGGTGGGGGTGTCTGGGGAGGTGGGGGTGCCAGGGGAGGTGGGGGTGCCTGGGGAGGTGGGAATGCCTGGGGAGGTGGGAATGCCCGGGGAGGTGGGAATGCCTGGAGAGGTGGGGGTGCCTGGGGAGGTGGGAATGCCTGGGGAGGTGGGGATGCCTGGGGAGGTGGGAATGCCTGGGGAGGTGGGGGTACCTGGGGAGGTGGAAATGCCTGGGGAGGTGGAGATGCCTGGGAAGGTGGGGGTACCTGGGGAGGTGGGAATGCCTGGGGAGGTGGAGATGCCTGGGGAGGTGGGGGTACCTGGGGAGGTGGGAATGCCTGGGGAGGTGGGGGTACCTGGGAAGGTGGGGGTGCCTCGGGAGGTGGGGGTGCCTGGGGAGGTGGGGGTACCTGGGGAGGTGGGAATGCCTGGGGAGGTGGAGATGCCTGGGGAGGTGGGGGTACCTGGGAAGGTGGGGGTGCCTCGGGAGGTGGGGGTGCCTGGGGAGGTGGGGGTACCTGGGGAGGTGGGAATGCCTGGGGAGGTGGGAATGCCTGGGGAGGTGGGGGTACCTGGGAAGGTGGGGGTGCCTCGGGAGGTGGGGGTGCCTGGGGAGGTGGGGGTACCTGGGGAGGTGGGAATGCCTGAGGAGGTGGGGGTACCTGGGGAGGTGGGGATGCCTGGGGATGTGGGGGTACCTGGGGAGGTGGGAATGCCTGAGGAGGTGGGGGTACCTGGGGAGGTGGGGGTGCCTGGGGAGGTGGGGGTACCTGGGGAGGTGGAGATGCCCAGGGAGGTGGGGGGTACCTGGGGAGGTGGGGATGCCTGGGGATGTGGGGGTACCTGGGGAGGTGGGAATGCCTGGGGAGGTGGGGGTACCCGGGGAGGTGGGGATGCCTGGGGAGGTGGGGGTGCCTGGGGAGGTGGGGATGGCTGGGGAGGTGGGGGTACCTGGGGAGGTGGGGATGTCTTGGGAGGCGGGGACACCTGGTGAGGAGGTGGGAACAGCTCCCTGCTGGGGCTATGGGGAGGAGGAGGTGAGAGCATATGCGCTGCCATAGCTGTGCTTGGTGGATGGCAGGAGGGCCTGACAGGAATGAGGTGGGTTTGGGGGCACAGGTTGTGCTGACATCCTCAGAAGACGGCTCTGCGGACAGCAGTCACACAGCCACCAAAGATGAGGTTCAGTCACTTCCCCTGCCACCAAGCTGGTCACAGGGCTGTCACACACTGTGCCTAGCTGCAGGCGAGCTGCTGGGCCCCATGGCTGCCTTCAGCTGGCCCTGTCCCCTGTGCCCACCTATGACATTCACTCCCGAAGGTAAAGCCCTTGAGAAAGACTTGACAGAGCTTGAGATTAGATAAGGCCAAGCCCCTGGGAACTGAGGCTTTTCTGTCTGTAAATAGAGGCTGGAGTGAGATGGGCAGTTGGTCTTGCAGAGGTCAAGTACCTGGCACTGAGGGCCTGGCTTAGGGTGAATGTGGCAGTGTAGACAGATGATGGGTGGGGATATGCAGACAGCTTCGCCTTTTTCACCAAATCCAAAGCTACGCACCTTTGGGGACCCTTTGAACTTAAAATGGATCACTTTAGGACAAGTACAAAGAAGCCTGTTACACACAATGTCTTGTGATAAATGAACCCTGAGAGATGGAGGGCCACGGACCAGCCGTGGGACAGCCAGCCAAGGACGTGATGGCAGCCACAACCACCTGCTCCTGCCAGGCGTGATGGCCTCTGCCTCACGAATTCCCCAGCAACCCACACCATGGGCCTTAGGGTTATCCTCTCTTAGAGACAAAGCTCAGAGAGGTGTATATCTTTACTCAAGATAACACAGCTAGAGAGTAGCCAGTGGGATTCAAATCCAGGTTGGTTTGACCCTAAACCTATGCCCTCCATGGCTGGTGACTAACTCCTACAGGGCTGTTGGCTGGCTGCTTCTTAGGGTTAAAATCTTATACTGCCTGCTGAACCCTCCGGTAGAGACAAATGCTAGATATATCTCAAATTTCACCCGGGAAGACAGTGCTAATAATTTTCAGAATACTAAATGTTCAAGGTCAAGGAGGAGAGCAGTAGGCAGAAGGATCGAGCCCACAGTCCTTATTCCAGGGTCGTGGTTCTCAACCTTGGCTTGGGGTTGCGGTCACCAGGCCGCATCCTGAGCAATTAAGCCAGCCCGGGGCTGACCCAGCCTCAGGGATTTGCCAAGTGCTGGAGGTGGAGCCACTGCAGTGGCCTGGTGGCTCTGTGGCTCCTTAAACCACGAGGGGAAGGAATAAATGAAACCCAATGACAGCTGTTCATCAGAAATAAAAGTCTTAAGCGAAAAAGCTAAAAGATAACTTTCTGTTGAGTAATGAACACTCGTCAAACAGCAATGACATGGTATTAAAATGTCTGTGATTACTTATTTCTCAGCATTCGTCTGGTAACTAAAGCAGCAGGAAGCAACAGTTGCACTTAAAAAAATGACAAGAAAATAGCTATTCGTTTAGTCGACAGAGTAAGGCCCATCTCGTTTCCGGGATCACTAGTGTCTGCGTATGATGGGGTGAATGCCCGCCAGTGCCGCGACTGGGAGGAGCCCGTGTCTTTAGGCTCAGGGGGTGCTCACGGCTGCAGAGCCTCGAGTTTCTGGAGCAACCTCGGGGCAGTTTCTTGAGGAGTCTCGGGAGGGGTGGTGTCCTGCCTCCCCATCCTAGATCAGCGAGGTCCCAGGAGTGCGTATTGCTGCGGGGTAGCCGTGGAGTGTAGGCATGTTCCAGAGGTGGCTTGACATCCCGAGGCTGGGTGGGATGAAGGGAAAGAAACGGGGGCAGGTCCTGGGCTTTGCTGACCCTGCATCTCGGGGTCAGGCCGATGGGTCTGCAGAGCAGTGCAGTGGGGGTCCTGTCGGCCGAAGGAAGAGGTGTCGCCTCTTCCTTCCCAGCCCCATTGTCATCTTGCAGGGAAGGCGTGTGGACTCGGGGGGGGGGGGACACAAAGGACTCCAGCAGGGCCACAGACAGAAGAGTGGCATGTCCCTTGTCCTCCGCCTATTGCACTGTATTCCATAAAAAATAAACACTTTTTTTGACTGTTTGTATATTGCTAATGCGGTGGCACTCTGGGCATTGGCAGGCTGCAGAGAGCCACGCCGCCATTCATCCACCAGAATCCGTCCAGAGACGGCCTTGACGCTGGGATCTTTGGAGCTTTCCTTTGGGAGGATTAGCAGTGCCCGTCTGTCTGGTGCTCTACACAGTGCTGGGAACATGAAATTAAAGGGTTAAAAACAAAAGAAATCCATGGGTAGGAAATCCCAGGGCTTCGTGGCCTCGTTTGGCAATCATTTGCACTGCACTGCGTCATGCGACGTGTGCTTCCTCCATGCCCACACGGACGTGCCCTGGGTGCTCCCCGTCTGCTCACAGGAAGCTCACAGGTGGTTGTTCTTGGAGAGGTAGGCGATGAGGGCCACAGCCACGCCCACATAGACGCCGGTCCCGATGGTGATGGACAGCACTGCCAGGAACAGGGCCCGCCGGGAGCTGGTGCTGGCCTGGTGCAAGTCCCCCTTGGCCACGGCTTTGTTGGTCTGCAGAGTTGGAGAAGAAAAAGGAAGTTACGGTAAGCAAGTTGGAAAAGGCAGTCAGTGGAGGGCTCATCTAGGGCATTGTGGATGCCGAGAAGGCCGAGCGTGAGCTGTGCTCACCCCTGCTATGACCAGGGCAGGTCTCTAACTGTGGGGCTGGGGCCTGCTGCTGCTTCCCACACTGTAGGGAACACCGACTTATGTTCTACTTGGCCCTAAGGCAGTAAAGGAAGGCTAGGAATGGCCCAACTGAGTTTCAGCAGTGTGGTGTGTGGCTCTCCAGCACCAGGATTGAGGTCTAGCTATGACTCCTCCAGTGCTGCTCTTTCTACTCAAGAACGGTGCATTTATTTGAATAGCACGTAATGTTCTAAAGCATATTTCTTCCTACCTGTTGAATCTCTGTCACCCACTGGAGGTGTGTGGAAGGCAATGACCGCTCTCATTTCCCTGAGAGAAACGCTGGCACAAGATCACTAAACCCATTGGAGGACGCCCAAGACGTTCCTCCTCAGTTGGCTCGCCTGCCATGGCCGTGGGTCATTCATTTCCTGACCGTCCCCACCCTGGACATGGCTGGAGTAGTAAAATTCATCCGTCAATAAAATCATTTGATGTAAAACTAGTATCTATATTCCTGAGTGTTCAGTGGCGTAACCGGGTGTGGGTGTAATCAAATTCATGATTCTTGGGGTCACGAGGAGATGGGGGGACCACCTGAGTAAAATGGCTCATTCGGTAGATGGGATGGGGTTATAGCAAGGCACTGAGCCCCAGGAGCCCATGTGATGCCGAGGAGGGTTGACCCCAAGCCACTGCCGGGCCCCTGCGGTCAGGACTACCCTGGCAGAATGTCCTAGCTCACTCTCCTGGCCATCTCCAGAAAACCAGATTTCTACTGGGTCACATTACCGCCTGAGGTCAGTGACATGCCTAGGTGTTATAGGTGAGTATGGGAGTCGACCTGTCGTTCGCTCAGACACACCAGCTAAAACACACCAGCACCACTCCTGCAGTGGACCAGAAAGGCTCTCACTCGGAGATGACTTGTGAAGTGAACCTGCATCTTGCACAGGCTGTGAGCTCTGGAAGTCTGTGCCCACGGGGAAGGGATGCCCGCTGCTGCTTGGCTTCCTTCTTGCTCCCACAACTTTTGGATCTTAACAGCTAGTTTTTATTTTTTTCCTCTCCCAACTTTTTGTCTTGGAACTGAACTTGAGAGCTCACTGCGGACAATTCTGGAGGGAGAAGAGATAAGGGGATGAGAAGTGGCAAGCCTCCTAGGACAGTGAATGAATGAATGAATGAATGAGTTGTGGTGAGCCGAGTCTGTTTGATGCAGCAGCGCTCCACACACACCCACATCCTGGAACACAGTTTTCTGTAATTGCCCTTTCTTGGCGCTAACTCAAAGAGCCGGCTCTCATTAGGGTAATGACTTTGTCCCCACCACGGTCACCAGCACAATCACAGTGCCATCTCCACGGCTATGCAAAGGGGTGCAGAGAGGAAGGTGGAGCCCCTATAACTGCCAGAGCACCTGCTGGCAGCATTCCCTGACCCATGCGGGAACACCCATGCCGGGCTTTCCAAGCTCATCAGGGCTCACACGTCTGAGTACCCGCTTGTGTGACAGTTGCCTTCCAGCTCCCTTGTAAGCTCCCTCAGGCAGGGCCCATGTCTCTCTTGTGCGTTGTGGTCTCCCTGGAGCCTGGGCTGGGCTCTGTGGGGACAGGAGGAATGCAGTACTTATCTAACGGGTGCAGAGTCCCAGTCTCTCCGGCGGTGTTGAGGAGGAAGGCAGTACTTATGTAATGGGTGCACAGTCCCAGTCTCTCTGGTGGTGTTGAGGAGGAAGGCGGTACTTATCTAACGGGTGCAGAGTCCCAGTCTCTCTGGCGGTGTTGAGGAGGAAGGCGGTACTTATTTAACGGGTGCAGAGTCCCAGTCTCTCTGGTGGTGCTGAGGAGGAAGGCGGTACTTATTTAACGGGTGCAGAGTCCCAGTCTCTCTGGTGGTGCTGAGGAGGAAGGCGGTACTTATCTAACGGGTGCAGAGTCCCAGTCTCTCTGGCGGTGTTGAGGAGGAAGGCGGTGGCATGGGCTGCCTCTTGACCTCAGTTCTCAGAACCGACTCTGCAGGTTCTGGGCACACAGACACTAGAGCTGTCATACTCAAGCTTGCGTCTGCTTCAGAATCACATTTGCTCTTTATTTTCATTCTCCACGCTGGGGGAACTCGATCGCAGGTTTATATGTTGGGCTCTAACAAGAGACCCAGGGAATGTGGAGTGTTGGGGTCCTGATCGCTGGAGGTGTCGGAACAGCAAGCAGATGCCGCCTCAGCAGGCAGGCTGTGTCCAGCAACGTCACTCGGCATCTGCGTGTCATAGAAGCCAGAGTTCCGGGGTGTCATTTACATACACAAAACACACAACGTGGTCTAATGAAGGTGATTCCCTGACATGAATCTTTTGTTTCAGAAAACGGATAACTGTGGCTGAGAAACAGCTCGCTCATTCCTTTGAGGCGGTGCAAATGGGAAGACACGGTTCTATCTTTCCATCCCGACAGCTGCTGGCTGAAAGCTCCCAGCTCTTTGACAAGCTTTTTTGCTGTGCATGAGAGCAGGGAAATGTGGCCTGAGTCCAAGAGTCTCTGAGCGGAAGGCAAGACTTTGTGTGCAAGTGCACAAAAGTTTGACAAGATGGTTATTTCTTCTGGCTGCGCTTTTCCTTCCCCGCCCATTTGCCAACAGGTTGCCAGTGAAGGTCGTGACTTTCTTGTGTGGCCTTTGTTGGAAAATGGAAGTGCAGGTGGTTGGAAAAGGTCGTCTTTGGGTCCTACTGAGCCCCTGCACCTTGTGCCAGCGGTGGGCTGGGGGCAGGGGCTCAGTAGGACCCAAAGACGCCATTTTTGTACCGTGAGGGCTCTTCAGAGAAAGTGTTTCAGCTCACAGCAGAGGCAGAACCTTAACACTCAGGGCACAGGGAATCATCACTGGGAGCGCAGGAAGCAGCAGGGCTCCACTGGCAGGGCGGGCTGCAGGGCCTCAGACACAGCCAAGGGAGACGTCCTGCACCCTGAAATCTGCCAGGTGCTGAGCTCCTGCACAGCCCACAGACATCTCACCCTGGGGTGTGATGTGTGCACCGTGGTTCTGGAATTAAAAGACCTGCTTTCTCTTCCCTGGCTGCAAAGACCTGATTTTTAAATTGAAGAGCAAAAGTAAACATGCGCCATAGCCATGACAGTCACGGAAGCAGCCCCTTGCCCTCCCCCAAGTGCAGCACTGTTCACAGTGAGGAGATAAAGCTTACACAGCAGAGAACGCACAGCCAGAGCAAACGTGCTTAGGCTGAAGTTGTCACATCAGAACTGAGATCTAGCCACCTCGTGCCCCCACTGGGTCACACGTCCTTAGGTTGCACGGTCACTGCAAGTGGCCAAGTCAAAAGAGCTGTGGACACATTCGGATGTCATGTTGCTCACGGCTTCGTGATGAGAAAGGACTGCTTTGTGGAGGGGCGCAGTCAATTTCCATTCCATGGGTGGTGGTGGTTAACGCTGAAAGCCACCAGCACTTCTCTCTGCTGGAACCCGCACCCTGCCCATTGGTCACATTCTGGGAATGGTTTTATCTGAAGGGAGTGGCTTCCCGTGGCGGTGGCAGACTTGTCTGAGAGTGGGTTCTAGGCCCTGCTTCCTCCCAGTGCTCCCGGTGGGTCCACATCTCACTCTACTTTGGGGAGTGTCCAGGCTGCCTTTGCCAAGTCCCCTCGTGCCTCCCCTTCTCATTGCCCACCTGAGGTCCCTGTTTTATCCAAGTCCCCTCGTGCCTCCCCTTCTCATGCCCACCTGAGGTCCCTGTTTTATCCAAGAATGCATCTTGGCATTTGCTGGCATGCTGAAGGCCTGTCCCTCCCTTCCTCTTCCCTCCCTCCCTTCTTCCTTCCTCTTCCCTCCCTCCTTTTTTCCTCCTTCCTCCCTCCCTCCCTCCTTATTCTCTCTTCCCTCTCTCCTTCCTATCTCTTCCCTCTTTCCTCCCTCTTCCTTCTTCCCTCCCTCCTCTCTTCCTCCCTCCCTTCTCCTTCTTTCTTCCCTTTCCCTTCCTCCCTCCTCCTCCCTCCCGCCTCTCTCTCTCCGTCCTCCCTCTTTCTTCCCTTCCTCCATTCCCCTCCTTCTTCCCTCCCTCCTTCTTTCTTCTGTTCACTTGCTCTGTAACAGGAGGTCCAGCTGAAAGCTCAATTCCAGGCTCCACGTCACAAGAGACACACCCTAGGATGGTGACATGGGCATCCCTGCCCCCAGCCACAGCAGCCTTTGATTTTTTCTAAACAAGAGAGCAGAACCAACTTAGATGCTTCAAGGCCTGTGCCTCCTCAAAGTGTCTGGAGGCTGAGAAGCATTATGAAGGACTGACGGTGTGCTGGGCCTGGGTCCCGTCCATAGGAGAAGGCAGGCTTTTGCTTCTCCGGCTGTGGGGGAGCAGCTGCCATGGGACGCTGTGGGCTCCATGCAGGGCTCCATGCACTGTGGGCGGGTGGCCAGTCAGTTTCTGCATGGAGTCCCCAAGGCGAGTGGCCAGCCGGCAGCCTCGGGGCGGGGCCCGGAGGGTACCGCTCTGTGGAGACACCCAGGCCCTAGCTGGGCAAGAAACAAAGGCCGAGGTAGTCCCCAGGGACCAGACATGGTCTTAGGTCCCATCCAGTAGAGCCCAGCTGAGGGAAAGTGGATGCGTACAGGGCCTGTGCTGGCAGGCTGAAGCTGCGGGCGAAGGTGGCAGCCTGAGGAGAACCTGCCAAATGCCTCTGTGAGAAAGCAAGCTGCGTACGAGAGCGCGAGCCTCCTGCGACAACCTGAGTTGGGGTGACTGTGATGTCTCTGCCCCCATCTGCCCCTGCCAACCACACCTTGCCCCCAGGGGCAGACACTGTGGCTGGCGAGTGGGGAGGAGGAGGGAAGATGAGGCCCCTGCTTCTGAGGCCAGGCCTGCTGTGTGTG